TGAGACTCGGGTCCCCCAGTAGATGAGATAACAAAAAAAAAAAAAAAAAAAAAAAAAAAAAAAAAAACAGCCACAGGCCGCCTGACTTGATCGCATGAACTCCTTTAACCGATGATGGGAGGGGGCTTTCATCTGTCCTGCACAACATACCCCTCGATGAAGAGAATGCGCACGTAGTCAAACACATGGATAGATGCTAAAATGCGGTGTAAATAAAGCAGAATACTCCGACCCCTGTCGATCACGATGACAAAAAGCACACATGTGACTTCCATGCTGAAGATAACCCCGGTCTGCTGCACTCACTTTGTCGCGCCCCCTTCCTTATCATTAGAGATTACCACCAATAAACAGCGTCAGGTGAGCTCACACTGTGGCGAAGACGCGGGCGTTGGAAGTCGGGTTGTGATAGATAAGAGAGAGAGTGTGTGTGCATGTGGTCGAGCGAAGGGTGAACCGAGAGGTAGACAGCAGTGCGATCTTGTACTCTGATACAAGACAAGACGGAACTCTAGTATTAAAATGGTTCGTGACCGAAGATGCGAGACGAAAGACACAAGAAAGAGAGAGCAAATCACTAATATAGTTCGCCGTTCCGAGCCGTAGCACCATGAAAGAGTGTTGGAAATGATGAGGGAAAGGAGGTTGAGAGGGCGTAGGAGAGTCGTTCTATCGGATGGGAGAGGGAATAGCGTCCCTCCCCTCTTCGAGGCGAGAAGACAGAAAACTCTGGCACATGAGAAGAAGCGTGAGGTGTGTGAACTGAAGTGCTCAACAACCCCACCAGAACCCAAGGGATGCAGACATAAGAAAAGAAACACATATAGCCCTCTCTCCAGACCCAGGATCGTATTTTCCTCTGCCAGCAGCAGCAACGTCGGCATAGCCGAGCACGTACGATAGAATGGAATGGGAAGGAGGTGCTTGGGCTGTTGCTCATGATGGTCGCATGCTGCCTGTCATACCTCCCTGGGATGTTGAAGACGGTGAATAACGAAAGAGAAAGTCGAGATGCCAACATGACAAGGATATTTCGTAGAAGTACAGAATCGCTCGCGTCCCGCTTTTTTTTAACTCAACCTGGAGGGCGACCGGGAATAAGCATAGGAATCGCGACAAACGGAGAGACGAGGATCGTCACCTACCGCAGCAGAGCGCCTTCATCATCTTCTGCACGAATGTAGGCTGCGGCTCATTGTTCGCCGGACCACCGGGGCCTTGCTGGCTGGTCTTGGCCGGGTTTGCAGGGCTGCCCATCTGTCCGGAAATGTTGGCATTCGAGTTCTGGAACTGCGCTTGAGTCGAAGCCGCTGGCGTGGCATCAAGGCCTCCGCTCTGACGCTTCGGGGCCATTCCTCCAGACACGCTTGGCCGATCGCGCGTCTTTCCAGCTCCAGGTTTGGCCGGAGATGGAGGCGGAGGCTGCGCCGCATTTAAACGATCAGCAGTCACTCCTGGTCGGCTACTCCGGAGCTGTTGAGCGTGAAGCTCCCGCGCGGATGAGTTGGGAAGTGTGTTGTTATGGAGATGCTGCTGGGATGAGTACGATTTGTACTCCCAGCCTCTACCATTGTTGAGCTTCATCCAGTCATATTCTCCATCTTCGACATCGCCAGTATTCTTGAGGGCCTGCGTCATCAGGTCCCGGAGGTAGTCGTAGTCGGGAGTATCTTCGAATCCGAGATTGCGGACATAGGTCAGGTATTTCGTGAACTCTTCTGTTCGTGGAATTAGTATTGTTTGGGAGGTAAGAAACTCGCAACAGTCATACCTGGGAAACCATCGCACAAATCCTTAATCGCAGTAGTCTGCTTCTTTTCGCCAATCTTCTCGTACTTTTGCTTGTTGGTGGCAGCCTTGAGACCCTGCCAGGGGAGTCCACCTCTCAGGAAATACAAGAAAACATGGCCGAGCGCCTCGAGATCATCACGGCGCGATTGTTCCCGTCCCAGGTGGGTGTTGATGCTCATGTAGCGGGCTGTGCCGGACAGCGATTTCCGCTCGCGATAGGGGATATGCTGCTTGGTCTTGGGATCTCTGTATTGCTTGGCCATTCCGAAATCGACAACGTGGATTACATTAGCGGCTTTGGTACTGGGGCGACCGATGAGGAAGTTGTCAGGCTTGATATCGCGATAGATCAAGTTCTTCTCGTGGATAGTTTGGACTCGAGACAGCTATTGGAGGTATTAGAGATATGGAAAGTGGAGCGAACAACATGGAGCTCACCATCTGTTTGGCGACCATGACAACAGTCTTGATTGAGAACCGCCGGTTGCAATGATCAAACAAATCCTCCAGACTGGGGCCAAGCAGGTCGATGACCAATATGTTGTGGAGGCCCTCCTGACCAAAGTAATAGACATTAGGAATGCCAGCTGCGCGGGATTAGCCCTGATTCTGAGCGGACGGACCAGGATAGACTTACGACACCCGACAAGGATCTTGTAGGTCCGATATTCATCACGAAGTTGCGGGGCATCACTCTTGCGGGGTTCCTGTTGATGATTAGCATCATGGAGGAAAACGACCTTGTGCACCTGTGCGCGGTGTCTCGTACAAATTTTATCGCCACCTGTTGGTTATTCAGGAGATTTGTTCCCTCGAAGATCACACCGAACGATCCTTCGCCGATCTTCTTCCCGACACGATAGTGAACACCGACGACATTGGATGATGAGGAGGCCATGGCTGCGGGAGTCGGACAAGTCTGGCAAGTCGGACAATGAAGGCGAGAGACCGCAGACAAGACAGATATCGGATGTGGTGATCAGGGGACTTGAGAACTGACTTCACACATGAGGTTAGCCCGAGAGAATTGAACTGGTTGAGACAGTGAGAAAAGGAGACTGTCGGACAATAGGCAGAACAGGCAGTGATACGAGACAAGTGCTTGTCAGGGGAGAGGGAATGCGAAAAGGCGAAATTGATGATGGGTCCGGGGAGGTGTCTCACAACAAGCCCGATGTTTACCAAGCTCGACCCTGCATATGAAGATGGGACCCAGGGAACAGGGGTGACAAGATTAAGGCAGATACCGACTGCGGTGGAAGGCAGACGAAGGGCAGGGGACAGCTACTCGAGCGATCGCGGGGACGAGGATTCGAAGGTGGTGCCAAACGGTTGCAGAAGTACCCTCGGAAGAGGGGGGCAAGAGGGAGGCGGCGAAGCGGCGTCGAGCGAAGTTGGTTTGGTGGTGACGGGAGGGAAGAACCAGGGATTCCGGGGAGGGAGAGAGAAGAAGACAGACTGGGGGCTGCAGGCTGACTGACGGTTTAAAGATGCGTCGGTACGCGAAAGAGGAGGAATATATCCAGCGATGAGACACAGAGGCGATCAAGATAATCGAATAAAAAGAAAGATTCCAAGCAAATCCCCTTGTAATTGACCAAGCGCGTGGCAGTAGCAGCAGGGCCCGGATGGCGATGAGATGGATGGGAATTGGGAGGCCGAAGCCGTAGGAAAGGAAAGGATTGAAGAGGGGAGGATGGATGAAATTGGAGGAATTGAGGACAGAGGTGAGCAGTGAACACACCAGGACTGGTATGAACCAACTACTGCTACGGCCTGCCTACGAGGGAAAGAAAGGGAAAAAAAAAAAAGAAAGGGAGGAGGAGGAAGGAGGAGGAGTAGGAGGAGGAGGAGAGTAGAAGACAGTGAGGAGAGGAGAAAAACGAGGCGGAGAGAAGAGGAAGCGGGAGAAAGAGGAGAGGAGAGACTAGAGGCTGAGTGAGGAGGAGCAAAGCTGTTGTTGCTGCTACTACTAACGTTACTACTACTGCTGCTACTACTACTACTACTGCTACAGCTGCTGCTGCTTCTCCTCATCCTCCCACTATACAATACCAGGGCCAATGCCCGTGTTAGTGCCAGTACAGTACAATCAATGCCAGTGCTCACTAGCCCACTCACTCTTTCAGGCACTCCCTAAGTTACTAAGGTACCACTTTACTACCACTTGCTACTACAGAGGCGATGGATTGGTTTGGCTTGGTTTGGTTTAGGCCTGGTATGGCTCGGTCTGGTCGGTCCTGGTCTGGGTCCTTTTGGCTCCTTTTCTCTCTCTTCGATCCTTTCCTTCTCTTTCTCGTGATTTTTTTGGGGGGGTTCTTTTTTTTTGTATCTATGCTTTTATCATCTCCTATTCTTCTGTTGTATATAATTTCTTCTCCTCCCTTTTCGTTGATGTGATTGAACTTGATTTGGTACGAATGGGGTAAATCTGTACTCCTAAAGACTGATTGGATAGTAAAACAACTGGAATGGACATAATGCTGCTGTTCTTGATCAAGCTTGGGTACGGATTCTGCCCCGTTTTTTTTTTTTTCCCCTTCCCTCTTTCCCACGCCCCCTGGTCGGTATGGTAACATCTGAAATGGAATACCGACTAGTGGAAACTAGCCGGGCGGTGATGGCGCCGATGGGCGATGATGGATGAAAGGGCCCCCAAGCGATAGGGGAGAAATGGCGGTTATCGGACGGTTTCGGGGTATCAATTGTGTATGGTGCCTCCTTCTCAACTTCAGGATTGGGGGGGGGGGAGGGAGAGAGGCGATTGATTATTACTTTGAGACAGTGGGAATAAGCCATGCATGCATAGATGCATGCTCTGAACAATCCACATCCCGTCGGTAAGGTACCAGAGTAGAATGTTATGAGTCCAATTTGTTTATCCTAGAATCTTACATAGTTGTGGGATGGTTCTTGTTCTTGTCCTTGCTCTTGCATCAGTTCCTTGAAATCAATTGATCAACATCATCATCATCATCATCATCAGCGACAGCAAGCAACAGCAATATTAAACAGCCAGAACTACATAGTACTAGCTAAAATGGGACGGGGCACACGGCAGGTTCCTCTCGCGCGTCTCCTGTTCTTCCCTCCTCCGGCCCCCTCCGCCCCTCTATAAACCAAATTAAGTTACCACTTGCTACCAACTAATTAGATTAGGTACATCTCGGTAAGCTTCGAAGATTCTATTAGTCCAATTCAGAGGTCAGCAAGACCAAGAGACAGACAGACGTTGACAGAAGAGAGGAAGAATTCCCATCCTCTTCCCCCCCCTCGATTCACAAGCATGAATTTGAATCATTATTCTCGAGTACGGAGTAGATTTCGGAAGCTTCGCCCCGGGCACCAGGGGACGGAGTCACTAGCGGCGCCTCTAGGCCAAATTAGCTCTATATATGGAGAAATGGCTCGACGAGATATTAACCCGTTAGACGCGCCACTGTCTCTCACTGGTCTGGTCTGCTCCCACACCCCCTCGGAGGGTTCTAGCCATCTTTGACGGCGAAAATGGCAAACAAGAGCAATTCTTCAGCAACTAGGTGTCGGCATGATGCCACCAGGAATGGGGGTTCGGGGATGGAAAAGGAAAACAATGTACAGGGGAGCAAGCGCAAACAACATTCATCTCAAGTGACTTTCCAGAATCTGAATACCCTGCCGAACCAAACCTTACAGAAGGAGTTACTACAGTGACTGGATTCTACTTTTTCCTGCGGGCTTGACGCCCGTAATCATACCCGGCAGAACCGGTACGGCTGGGGAATGAGGATAGACAGTTGGATGGATACCTGTCCGTATTTAACAAGATTATGGAGAATTGGTCGGATTTAGTTACGTAGTGCCAGTGGGTGGGTTCAGTTGTTTATGTGCCTTAGTGCCAGGTACCTATCGATCGGTCATCCGATCAGTGAGTCTCGGAAGAGTGGTGAGTAGTTTATGATTATTGTCATTATTATTATTATTATCGTCTTAAATGAATCTTGATGAAATAGCGACCATCTATAATTGGTAAAGGACAAGCGCTATGCGCTCCGGAGAGCCGAGCCGTTGCTGGCAAGCAAAGAGAAAAGAGAATGGAAAACATGAAATGGATGACTACTTCGTAAGTACAGTACGCTAACTCCCTATCTATACTGTAACTATATCGTGGTCCATAGCCTTTTCATATGTTTGTACACGCGGTATCTAATGCTCAGGGACAGATAAACATGTATTGTAGGCCAATCGCCTTGTTCAATAATGGGTACAGAAATGACCCGTCATTGTAGCAGTCAACCAGTAACTCACCAAGATCAAGTAGTTACTTTGTACAGATCCGTAAGCGCCAGATTTATATCTGACTGAGTTCCCCGACTTCAATTAATCAAGCCCTGAGGCGGTGATCGGTAAAAAAGCGACAGCTAGCCTAGACTAAGGGGAAGATGGGAGAACATGCCCAGTGGCTTGAATCTCACTGCGCTGGCAGCCTGGCACTGCACCCCTGACCAGTCCTGACTGCGCCCTGGGGGGCCACCACGCTTAGGGTCTGGAGCTACGACAGTCCCGGTTAGTCAAGAAGGGAAGCCGGTGGAGTTGCGACCTAAAATGGAGTCTCTTTTTAGTTTCTCCGTACGATACAGTACGAAACATGTACTTATTTGATAAGTTACTAGATATTAGCTCCGTACAGTGAATCAGTGATGACCTGTTAGAGAATTCCCAATAACGGTTCTGTAAGAAGGTACCTAGTATCACTCCACAGTTACCAACCACACTAGATTAACTAGGTTGGGTTCGTGTGGAATACGTACGAACTTGTCAACGGTACCTGAGCATCATCTCACGAGGCTCACTTACATACCAAGTACTTTAGGGCTCAAGATCTGAAAACCACGGCCATTGCGACGGGAAAGAACTGCCGACATCAAGGTCTAGCGCAGTTGGAAGGATGTGACTCCTAGTCCTCCGGCTTCCAATACTTCCGACTTCACAGCAGCAGTGGCACACCTCAATTGATGATGGCGCGATGCATCTGACACATCCAGGATCCACAATTCATTGGGTGTCAACCCCCGTTATCTGAAACGTCTCTTATGCAGTCTTGAAACGGCTTTCCCCATGTCAGATGCAATCCGACGTGTGCAAAGCTCGGTCTCAATAAGCAGGACGGCCATCAGGTATCTAGATACTCTATACTAGATAGGCGAAGACACAGTCTATGACCGACACTCTCCACCGGGTTCTCCCCGCGTGCAGCTCGACTGCTGAACGTATCTGGCTAGTGCTGAGCGCAAATCAATCGGGCCCGCGTTGCGCCGGCCTGGCTGTGGTAACAATCTAGATATCCATACAGGGTCCAACAAGCGAGCTCTTACAACTCTTCGGCAGGAACATCCTCGGCTTCACTGCCGAGCTCTTCCGCCACAAGATCGCGACCATCATCCTCACCATCCTCATCCTCATCCTCATCCTGGTCCTCACCGTCGTTCTCGTCGTCGTCCTCGCTGCTGCTGCTGCTGCCGCTTCCATCGTCACTGCTGCTGCCAGGGTCATAGTCCTCCTCATCCTCATCCTCTTGATCTTCAAGCTCACGTTGTGCCTTTTGCAATTCACTCTCTTCTTCTTCTGCTTCAGCAACCCCTTCTGCATTGGTAGTGGCATCATCTCCGGTCTTGGCACCGTTGACATTGTATCGTTTCGCACGGCGGGCTTCCGCGAGACTAGCATCTTGCAGGCCGTGCTTTTTGATGTAGGTGTCAATTGCAGAGAAATTCGCCTGGTCGATCATGGAGAACTCAAGCTCCTGGGTTTCGTCGCTGCCAGACGGACGGGCTAGGATGTTGAGATTGAATGTTCGCTGCAGGACAGATGTGTAGGAGATCGATTCAATGTTTTCGAAGGCGAAAAATATCAACGGCTTCTTGAAGCCGAACAGGATCCCGGTAGAAAGAAGGAAAAGATAACCTACAGTGAATCGCCATTAGTCAAAAGAACAAGCCATACCACTGCAGTAGGGTGTTTGATATACCATCTTTGCTCCCGCGATGGGCCTTGACATGGAAAGCCTTCTCCCCCTTCCGATGAGCTTCCGGAATTGCGCTCACAAATTGCCGCTCATCAGGGCGGATCACCTTGGTCCGCACCAGATTATCGTTCAAGACCTGTTGAACCACCTTCTCCGCGCTCTCGCCCTCAGTTGTCCCCAGCTGCTGACCGGTTCCCGAAAACGCTGCTTTGGGTGGCCCATCGGCCACCGTCCACACAATACACTCAGAAGCAGCGACACCTTCCGGAGGAGCGTTGATGCCATCACTATATCGGGGGATAATGCAGAAATTGAATTGTCGCTGGTTCTTTTCCGGGACTGGAAGACAGAGAACGTGCTCTAGTGACGACACGAGCACACATTAGCAAACGCGACGGTCTTGTGTGTGAGAAGGCAACTCACGGATCTTATCCAACTCGACCCCGAACTCCACCTCTTTCGACGTCTGATTCCTTGCGCGGAGGAATCCACCTCCGGCAGTGATCTCCAGTGTAAGCTTCTTCCGCTGCGGCACAGCGAAGGAAACATCCTGCATGTAGAATTGTAGTGGTGCGTCGGCTTTCAAGTCGCCCGGGAACTGTTGCGCAGCGGCAGCTGTATGACCATCCCCACCGTTTTGGGTCTTGCGTTTCTTCGCCGCTGGGCCGTCGTCGCTGACGGCCTCGATGGGCTGAACGCGGGCGTTGACGACAGACCTGGCCAGCAGGCTGGATGTATATCTGGCAACGTCTTCGAATAGCGGCGCATACTGCGGGGTTTGTTCTGTTCAGAGGAGGGATAAAGTCAACAAGCGGTGATTTGATGATTCTGTTCTTTCGAGTCTTGGGCGTCATCATCTGGAGCCATTGCGAGCGTTGATGTGGGGGTTGGAGGTGGGGAGAGGGATAGTGAATGGTTCTTGCAGTGACCGACAGTCCTCACGTACCGATCGCATCGTAAACACGTTTTCTAAGGGCAGGTTCGGCAGCAAAGGCATCATCAATAACGGAGCTCCTCGGTGGAGGAGCTGAAGACGAGGAGTTTATCGTGACAAATGCCATGACGAGGAGGATGATCGATGAATCGATCAATGGATAATGGATAAATACAATGTAACAAGCTAGATGAGGATGTTCCGGTAATGGATAATATATGATTGTAATCAGGACAAGGAGGATATTGCATGAAGCGGGCAAACTGAGAATTTGCGACGCGCTTTGAATAGCAAGGTAGGTGGAGGTGGAGGTAAGTAGTTTTTGGTTAAGTAAGATGGAAGAAAGAAAAGGACTGCACTCCCACCTACCTGACTCCCTGGCGGCTTGGTCGATCGGGTGCGCGCACCAAATGCAATCGGAAAATAAGTCGACCTGCAATCAAGAGTACCTACTAGTCTCTGCTGGACGTCCTATTATTGGTGCAATGGTTGTCTCAGGGCATTATCATGTTAATGCAGTCAAGGGTTCTTTAGTTCAACTTCCTTCACAACTCTTGATTGTTAATGATCTTAATACAAGTCATATTCTATGCTACAAACAGCACTAATGTACACCCATCCTGGAACCCGGAAATAACGTCGCGAAAAAGGGGGGAAAAGGACCACCATGAAGCTGCAATTGCTCTCATCAGTGGCCAATGGCCAGTTTATTACCACCAGGTGCTTAGGCGTTCGTCGTGGCCGCCTGCTTCTTCTCCAAGAAAGCCTCGATGAATCCTCTTGTCATCTTATCCATCTTGTAATTCGGACGGGCTTTTTGCGGAGGTCTGTAGGTCTTTGGCGCGTTTTTCGCCTGATGTAGGTGAGCCAAGGGGGTCCACAAAGTCTGACTTTGAAGATATTCCCGCTTGTAGTCTTCCATCAACTTCTTCTCCACCCACTCAGGATCGTGCCTGGTTCGGTATTTCGAGTAGGGGTTGCGAAGCTCATCGATGACCGATGCGGGGAAAGGTGCGAACTGAAGCGATGGCAGCCAAGTTGGCGTCTCAACTTCCATACGGAGGGTATCCCACTCTTCGTCCTTCGGCGCTGGGGGCTCGACCTTAGGCCAGGGGATCTCAATGTCTTCACCGGCAATATATCTGGTGTGTTTAGGGGTCTCGACTCCGTAGCCACGTTCGAGGATGGGCCCTCCGCCATAAACATGCTCCACCAGTACATCTCGCGTTTGGCCGGTAACTGGGTCATCGAGAGCGACCACAAGGCGAACATCGTCCAAGGACAAGGGAATGCTGACAGACTGGAAGGGGGATTTTTCCCCGTACTGGTCGGTCATCCACTCGGGAAAGTAGATATCGGCCTGTTTTGAGATTTGACAGCAGTCAGTCGAGTGAGACGAGCCGAGATCGAGCAGGAACAAACAGTACCATGTTCAGGTCCTTCACCAACACCGTCTCATTGCTGGCATCCACCTTCACGACCTCGTTGATCTTGCCCTTATCCTTGCCCTTCATCACACACACCCGATCTCCCGCCGCGATGTTAATGTATTTCCTCCGGAGATGCTTGGGAACGGTCGGAGGGTTCAACGCTTGCGGCGTCAGGGCACCGAACTTGCTTCCCGAGAGAGCGGCATCACGCTGGGGGGCTAGAGGTCCACGCATCCAGTCTTCACGGCGTCGGAGCCTTTCCTCGCGGAGGTTGTCCAGCTCCATGCGCTTGTAGGCGAAACGCTGGCGGAGAGTGTCCTTGTATTCTTCGCGTTCGGCGACTTTGGCCGCCCGGATGGCCTTACGCGTGGCCTGGTTCCGGGCCTGCGCCGTTCTCTGAATGACTTTCTGCATGGTGATCTGTTTGCGATGCCAACAATGGCCGTCCTTTCCCACGGAATCGCGGCCAGATTGAATGTCGGGGAAGGGAAAATTGCGGCCCTGCTGCAGTCACGTGCCTACCCGTGGACCACCACCAATCAGATTCGATACCTTCATTTCAGTCGGGATTGGACTGCAGTGGGCATTCCGGACTACTACTACCAGTAACTTCAAGGTTAGGTACCGTATTAGTTAGTAGGTACTACTAAGTGCAGCTATACTCATGTGAGTACCTCATGTAGAGCTACCATTTAATAAATAAAGATAAGTGGTTACATCAAAAATCGCCAACTTATAGACTGATCTTTCATGGATGTTTTCAAGCTATGGTGATTGGGGTTTTCGAAGTCAAGAAGCTACTAGGTAGGCATGTCAATCATGTGTACTTCCGAGCCGATGGACAGAGAGAGCCATACTATAGGTATCAATATTTAACCTCAAGATGGGAAGGTAGGTAGTTCAAGCACTATTTAGATGCGCGACTGGCGTGGGATAGACATGATACTAAATCTGACCTCAAAGGTTTTTCACCTCAATCCAATATATGTCCACTTTCCAAATGTGAGTGGATCATGGTAGCAATGGCTCTGAACTGACATATTAGAGAGTCGACTGCAGATCGTACTAAGCTAACAACATAGAATCTCAGTTCAACTAACCAATCGTCCCTAGCGACAGCATAGAGGAAGATTAGACAAGATCCAGTTCCTTAAGAGTAGTTGTCCCTCGATGGCCAAGTCATACAGTGTATACGAATAGCGTAATCGTCACAGGTTCAAGGCAGATAGATGTGAGGGGGGTCGAGGAAAGTACTATTGTCTCATTCGCCACTCATCCGACAGGTGATACCTACATAGTAACTACAAGCTCGTAAACCACGCTTAACAGTGGCAACCGTAGGAAGAAAAGGTCGACAACACATCAGACCCCCACAAATTGCGAGCTTTGCTTACCATAGAGGTTGTCAGATATAGGCCCGATCATCATCCCCAACAGTGATCTAGCCTCTTTTCTTCCCCAGCTGCAGCTGTGATCGATGTATAGAGTTCGCGAGGGTCGCCTCCGCCTCAACCAAACGTCAAGGTCTAAGCAGCTTCACCGAATGTTAGGTAGGCAGTCAACTTATTCAGTAAGCACGGGGCGGTCCAATCAACAAGCACTCAGCTTAGAACTGGCACAGCATTAGCGCAACAGCCCTGGGATTCTGATTGGAAACGAGCCACTCGGTGACGATCTGAACAGAGAATACAATCACGGTGTGCATATGTACGGTTGCTACTCCGTACAACGAGTACCTACTGCAAGGCTACTGCTGCCAGGTTATCTGTGGCTGAGGGTTGGCAAGGCTATACCCGGGTATTATAACCTCGTAGTCGACGCTTGTAATGTACTGTATGTTTGCATGGATTTGCAGTAAATAGTACTGTATGTACAGTTAGTATTCTCTCTACTTACAACGTCAACAATGCGGATTGATTCGACCGCCATAACCATAGGAGGATGCCTGCAGTGCGTTGGTTCATACTGAAAGCTGCATAGGAATAAAGAGCACGTCACAAAAATGAGAATATGCTTCACGGGGTCGACCGCACTTACTAGGGTGGTTTTCCGGTCCCATCTGATGACGTTGACCAGGGAGGAGAGTACGTACTGTAGCAGCATGATTAGGGGGCATTGAAGATCACTTGCACCGCCACGTATTTCTGGCTCGGGAATCGGTCAATGCGAGCGGAAAGCGAATCTTCGGCCAGGGTATTCGATTTTCGGTATTTCATACTGAGCAGGCAAAGATGCATACACTCCCCCTGCCTCTCAGGTGAGAACACACACGTCATCTATACTTGTTGGACGGTTAGAAGAAATTCGGTGATCGCTGCTGAAAGCCGCCAGAGTCCCTTCTTGACAACAAAACTCATGCCAATCACCCTCCTGGTGCATCCTAGGGGTTGATAGGACTGGGCGTTATGCAGAAAAGGCTGTCTAGCTGTGCTCGAGCTTGGACACCAGCTATCTAGGGCAATCTGCTGATTTCCGCTTGGAGTATGGAGCTACAGAGCCCGGCCAACAAGCATGGCCCATCATACAGCGCTGATGGATGAATGGAAGCCCGAGGACCCTACCCGCCAGTGTGCCGACTGGCGTCTAGGCCTCTCTGTAGATAGGACAGCGACAGTAACTAAAGATGGATATTGTGAAAGTTGCACCGAATGATGGAAGCTTTCTTGAAATCATCTCTCCCGGGTCTAGAACTACCTCTTAGTAACTATGCCCTGATCTAGAGACTTACTTCTCAACCTACATACATATAGCTTCCAAGAGACTCGAACAGGCGATTGATAGTTAGCGAAGATGACGACATGCAACGTAGTTATACTCAGTAGCCGGAGCGGAAGGGGGGGGGGGGATGGATTCCTACCTAGTAGGTAAGATTAAGCCATAAAAAGAAAGGACCAGCTAATAAAAGCAGAAAATAATCTTTATTGGCCCTGGATTGGTCGACAATGATAACTACCTGGTACTTACAGACTATAAGTATAACTTACACAGTCCTGACCGACCACAGACAGGAATTTTACCAGTTTGATTGAGTTGAATCAGGTCTCATACCATACCAGACCATACCGGAGTGTCAGTTGTAAGTTATTGGCTCCTGGCTCCCGTCTTCAGCCACGGTGGCTTTTAATGGGAATGAAGGCAGCAGCTTAGGCAGCTAAGTAAGCAGAAATGACCGGACAACATAACTAGTTAAACAAGTTTAGTGGACGCGAAAAAAAAGGCGACTAGATCAAGGAAGTTCGAAGATCATGGAAAAGGAGTAAAGTATTTAGGAGGCAGCCTATCGACCATATTCTTCCATCAATTCTCAGGTAGTGTGGCTCTTCTCCGTAGACAGCCAGCCTCGCTAGTGGCACGGAAAGGTCAAAAACTCATCAAGAAAAATAACAAAAAAGGTATTGTTGACAAAAGAGGTTGCAGTCGTCGGATCGGATAATCAGAAGTTTGCAGTTGGTTACAATGTTAGAGATGATAAGAGAAGCAGGAGGAAGAACTTGAAGATGATAACAATGAAGGAAAGGCAACAAATAGAGAAGGGGGGAAAAGGGAAAGTATAAACAGTCTTGTCACAGCAACATTCATAGCATCTTAACCACTGGATGGGCGGAAGGATTGTTTCAGCTTGTTTTAGTATGGAATACTTAGATGGTTAGACCCGGGGGGGGGGGCTCAGGGAATAGACCTGAAAGAGCCAGGAGGAATATACAGGAGATGAATACGGAGTAGGTAGAGTGCCAACCCGCCGATGGACGACCATAACTGGTCCATAAGAAATGTAGCAACAAGCAATGGACAGGCAGCAGCAGCAGCAGCAGCAGCAGTGGTGGTGGTAGTGGTGGTGATTGTAGGAGTATTCCAGCAGGAGTATAAGCAGGAGGAGCATTTGCTTACAGGCACTCACCACGACCACCACGACCACTACCACTACCACTACCACTACCACTACCACCAACCACCACCACCACCACCACAAGCAACAGCACTCACTCACTGTCATTCATCCTCTTGACTATCAACCCATCCATTCTTTCTTCCGCTTCCCTCCTCTTTCTCTTCTTTCATCATCCCTCCAACGTGATAACCTCCCTTTTCTCAAGGGAATCTTCTACTGCCGTGATTCTTCTGCTAAACTCATCTTCTGGGTTTATTTTTTCAATTCTAGACTCTTTTGTTTCCTCTACAGCCCTTCCCCCCACCCCCTACTCTCCCTCCCATATTTTAATCCGCGCCCGTTGCGCCTACTCCCGTGCACCGTACGTGATAACCCTTTTCCTCGGGCGCCTGACTTGTCTGTCCCTTTCTCTCACTCACTCTCTCACTCACTCACTCACTCACTCTCTCACTCTCTCTCGCTCTCTCGCTCTCTCTACCTACAACCTCCACCTCCCTCCACCTGCTACACTTCCCCCTTCCCCTCTCTCAAACCAAATTCCATCCATCAACTACTTACCTCTCTTTTCCTTTCCTCTTCTCCACTACACATACTTTTTTCTTTCGTTGTCGCATATCGCTAAATCAACCTATTTTCTGCTCTTCCGTTTGCTGATCTTCACCTCTCAATAAAGATGGCTGAGATTCGCCGCAAGCTTGTCATCGTTGGTGATGGTGCCTGTGGTAAGACTTGTCTGTTGATGTAAGTTCCTCATCTTTGGTCCCCCACCCCCCTCCCCCCGTCCAAGGGGCCAAATGGCACATACTGACTCTACATCTCTTCTCCTTTTAGTGTCTTCTCCAAGGGCACTTTCCCCGAGGTTAGCCTCCGTCTCCTATCCTTGCCTGGGGTTTTACGCTGTTGTCTCCTGTCCTATTCACGCTCAATGCGAAATCACCATGCAACTGCTCATCCAACCTTTCGTTCCTATCGGACTGACTGAATTCGCTGCCTTAGGTCTATGTCCCCACTGTCTTCGAGAACTATGTTGCCGATGTTGAGGTCGATGGCAAGCACGTTGAGCTTGCTCTTTGGGATACTGCTGGTCAGGAAGATTACGATCGTCTTCGCCCTCTCTCATACCCCGACTCTCACGTTATCCTGATTTGCTTTGCTGTCGACTCCCCTGACTCGTTGGACAACGTTCAGGAGAAGGTGAGCAGTTCCACCATTTTCGACCTTGAAAATGAAGCCTGCGCATGTCCAGGTTTTCTTGGATCAACATGCTGATAAATCTGCAGTGGATCTCCGAGGTTCTGCACTTCTGCCAGGGTCTCCCCATCATTCTCGTCGGCTGCAAGATGGATCTCCGTCACGACCCCAAGACCATTGAAGAACTCCACAAGACCTCTCAGAAGCCGGTTACCCCTGAGCAGGTAAGTCCATTTGGCGCGCTAACCAGCTGACTTTGGATTGGTCGCTGACTTTTTCCCAGGGTGAGGAGGTTCGCAAGAAGATTGGTGCCTACAAGTACCTCGAGTGCTCTGCCCGTACCAACGAGGGCGTTCGTGAGGTCTTTGAGGCGGCTACCCGGGCTGCGCTCTTGACCAAGGCCCACAAGAGCAAGAAGAAGTGCACCATCCTGTAAACTAGTTGTTTCCTTCGCAAAAGGTCTGTTTCGTGCGGAGATTATATGAACGGATAAGCGTCTCGAATATTTGGTTTCTATCATTTTACTCCGAAGGGGTCCTCCGTTGGCGTGTTCCAATCTGTGCCTGGATGCGAGTGTGGATAATGTTCAATCACGGGCACACGAGCTTTATGGGATTATCTGGCTATGCAGTTGGTCGACTTTCTTGTTTTGCAGACATTATTTTCTAGGGAGGCGTTGTCTTGTCTTCATAACCTTGTGGGTTTTGTTATCTTTTATCTTCCAGCTCCTCATAGGCGCCTCCGGGGCGGTTCGCGATCATCCACTATGACAAACTGGGCGCCGGGTTGCTGCCAGCAGAAAGAGGCCCTCGCTGCAGCGGGTTATGGAGGTTCAAAGCAGCGCAAGTCGATGCGCATCCCTATCCTTTTCGCATGGACCCTTTGCATTCGATCTCTGAGAAATGGTCTGATTATCGAGAAAATCCGCACATTTCCACGATGGGCCAGATGTTCGTCACACTTGCCTCGCCTATCAGATCTCCCCCAGCACAGTCTTATCATCATAATCAGATTTCCCCCACTTTGCTGTGTTCTAATCTGTTGTCCTTGTTTGTTTATTTTCGGTTAAAGAGAATGCATGGAATTGTCACTGAGTTTGAACCCATCCCCCCCATTTTCCCTTACTTGTTCCCCTATCTTGTCAGTCACGCGATCTTAATAACTATACATGTGTCTTTCGCGGCGGATGCCAAGCCATAAGAAAGAGAATCTTGAAGCAGAACTCATCCTTATTTCATTGTCTTCTGATCACTGCAGTGCTTATCTTTGCCATGCTCTCGGTTGCATGCGCCCAAGGTTTCCTCTCCATGCGAATTAGGCTTCAACAATATCTGTTGATTGCTGGACCATGAATTCATTGGTAAAACGAATCCAATCCACGTCGCATCATCGTGACTCAAATGATGAGCACATTTGGCTATCATCGTACCTTGCAAGGTAGTGAGTATGCAACCCTGTCTCGGTAAGAGTAAGTTCATGAGTGATGTAGCACATATTGGGACTTTTCCTAATCCCTCCTGCCGAGTGGGGACATCTGAGTGGACCCTGCGGCTTGTATGTATCTCCTGAACAAAGGTCAATGGGCGGATGACGAGGTGGAGGGGAGGGATGCTGATCGTGACATTGGTACGAGATCCACCGTCGATAAGATGGTCTTGAGAATCGCAGCTGTGGCCAAGCTTAGTTCATGTGCTGAGTTACCGAGGAGCATTTCTGCCTGAAGCTATTTGTGAAATTTAGTTGCCTGTCTGGTGCTGTGGTGATGGTTCTCTAAATAGATAGAGACCACCGAGGTCGGAGGCCCGCGGCGTGAGAGACGACTTATTTAGCTTATTTAGCACATTTTTGTGGAGATGTATACGTAGTGGATTTGCTGGAGGTAGGCCTACGTAAGAGCAAGCCATCTCCCCCCCCTCCCCTCGGTGTTCATGGCCAGATCTACCTATTCAAACTTAATAGATTTCCAATATACCGTCTGGCATCGAGGCCCAGTCCCTCGACGAGTTTCGCTGGCCCTGTATCGGCCCTTGCCGCCTGCAGACTTGTTGATGAGGCGCCTCCGAGATCCCGAAAGAATCTGGAGCCGCTACCGCTGCGGACATGTCCTGATGAAGAAACATGATCGCTTGATCGCCGAATAAAGAAAGCCTCCTGCTGCGTGGCACCTCCACCAGCTCCACCATCACCACCAGTGTTAGTACTACCGATGTTGGTTTCGGCCGGTGTGCTCGTGCTCGTCCCGGTAACAGAGGCATCTTCTTGTCCCGGTGGAGATAGGGGACTACTGTCAGACATCCGCATCCAAACAATCCACCAGCCGCGACTGGTCTTGCAGGTTCTTTCGACCTCCAGGGGCCGAGAGCGCGTTTCCGTGTATGTGCTTAGAAGTCGGTGGTGGATGTTGAGGCTCTCAACCCGCGTCCAGGGCGGGAGCATCGTGCGATGAGGTTCGGTGGTGCTCGGAGCTCCCAATTCCGGGATGTTGGGGATGGAGGAGCGGATGGTTAAGTTGGTAGGATCGTACACGAGATTGTATACCGGTTCGCTTGGGGTTGTGAATCGGTCGTTCACCTCGAACGCGCTGTCGGATACGGCGATTCGCTTCGCGGCAGTAGCTGGGGACGTGGAGTTGCACAGCGGTTTATGGAGGATGCTCATCTGGCTGCGAAGGTCGTGGTAGAAGGATGGCTGGGATAGAGAGGGGGTGGAAGGATCGTAGAGGAACGTGTATATGAATGGTTGGTGCTACAGAATTGTCAGCGTACCAAGCGAAGAGGTATGGGTATAATGCACGACATACTACGAAGACAATTGTTCGCAACTTCACCGAGCCTAGTATGCCTGTGATCAGCCACCGGGTAATTCCGCTTTGCTCGCAGTACAAAACTGCTTACCAGTTGGAGTTTCGTCTAGAGGAACAGCCTCTTCGAAGGGGACTGTCAGTCGGACGTGCAATGTTCTTTGGTCAATTACATGACTCGAATCCGCAGTGAGCGTGTTCAATGGTTCATTGTCTCCCTGAAGTCTGTCCGTGGTTTTGGTGCTTGATGTATTGTGGAACCCAATGAGGAATCGACCAGGGTTCTTCGGCTTATTCTGATCCTCGATATCGGCAGTATCCCCCTTAGTTGATTCTTCGGAGTTGGTAGAAGGTTTCACTTGGTGATTCGGGCTTGTGGAGTCGTCCTCTCGCCTCAATGCTTCGATGCGAGGATGCGGGCTCCCTGTCCTAGATGATGGGCCCCAAGATGAGCCATACCCGAGAGTGAGATATTTCATTAGTGTGTCCGAGCCGGGCATCGTCCAGTCATTAGCCCGGTCACTCCGCACTGACGAGCTTCCACTGCTGCTGGTGATAGAGCTTGTTTTCGCACCGGACTCTGCTGGCGGCTGTGAAACGTCTGAAGTCCCTACCACGAGCGGACGAGGTATGCCGGGAGAAAAGGAACGATCTAAAGTTGCATGATCAACAGGTTTGACAACAGATCCAGCTTGACGGTCAGTCTCGTTCCCAACCGGAAGCCTTTCCCGATGCTTCTTTCGTCTTTTCCGCCGGCGAGGGCAAGCCGGGTCTTCGCTCACTGCATACGCGTCAACGCCGTATCTATAAATCCATTCCACCCACTGAGAGACTCTCACGACTGAGGGCCTTGAGAGAGCGCCAACCCCAGAGAATATGACTCCATCTGAAGGTTTGGGGGAAACGTCCGCACCAAACCAGGATTCTGCGTTATCACTCTTGCTCTTGAAGGTTGACCCTCTGTTTTCCGAGACAGACTCCTTCGATGATGTAGAAGAGTCTCCAAATCGCGAGACGATCATATCTACGAGTCCATCCGTCCTAGAAACAAAGTCCTCCAAGACCTCTCTCTCCCCGCTGCCCCATTCTTCCTCGCCAACGCCAACCCCAAGCTCACCTCCAGCGGAGAGCTTGATACCATCATACATATCGACCACTGGACTCCCACTTAGAAGCATTTCCCAGCTCCAGGCGAATCGCCACCAGAAGCTGTCCAGGAGCGTACAGAACTTGGACCTGCCAACATGATCGTAGAGGGCGTCGAGCGTAAACTGGTGGTGTAAAAGAAAGATGGAGTGTGCCCGGCGCATTTGTTGTTTCAAGAGCTGTGGGGGGCACATCTCCCTTGAAGAGTATGTGAATTCAGGTGTGGCTGAACCATCGTTTTGGGAGATAGTAGCCGGATCAATTGGCAGTCGAGTCAGTTCAACAGACTAGAGAGATCTCAGCAGCTATCTATGACATATGGCGACACAGGCCACCCACTGCTAAGATCCACCAATCCTGCTCAAGCTCGTGCAAGATAACCTGCGACTTCTCTGTTTCCACATACTCTACGGCCTTGCCCTCTGAGAAGTTCCTGGTATTCCAGATCAGCCCGTGAACCTTTCACTAACCCTCGACAGCGGTTTCACCCACCTGGCAAAGCCCACTATTCCCTGGGCCAATCCTATCTGGCGCAACTTATCGTTCAGATCGCCATTAGGTTCGCTATTGACACCCTCTTCAGGGACTGGGCTATCGCGCTGCGCTGAACGATCTGACCTAGATGTATAGAAAACGATTTGATCCCGTATTGTTTCGTCTGTCGGTCCGAGGCGGGGGTTGTAGATGGTGAGGAAGGAGAGTTGCGCAGGAATTACCGATGCAGAGGCATTATCAGGCATTGCGCCATCGACATGTGAGCTCTGTATCACTGAGTACTGAGCAGCAGCGTCGTTGCGGAGCAAGAGATAATCATGGATTGTTTGTTGCTGGTTGATCTCTCTCCTTTGGGGGGAGTAGGAAGGCGGTGACATCACGTGGCGGCGTTCGGCGATTCTCCCGAAGCTACAGCAACGAGATAGTGTGTAAATAATATACCATTGCAGTGGGGAGCTTCAAAGGCAATGCTGCTTTTCCGGGGCCCAGGGATCCTCTGCGGATTCAGACCCACCCTCTATGCTTTACCTTCTGCGAATCGATACTTGGCGACCAAAGCCTACGACCCTCTCCGCATACTCTTCTGCGGCTCCGATGAATTCAGTATTGCTTCCTTGAAAGCGCTCCATGCAGAACATCTCTCTCGACCGGACCGGATCGCGTCCATTGATGTCGTTTGTAGACCCGGTAAAAGGGTCGGGCGAGGGTTGAAGAAGATACAGGAAGGTATGTTTGCGCATGAGAAACAATTTGGGATACTTACGGCTGACATGCTTGTGGATCGCAACAGTCCCTATCAAAGCAGCCGCAACAGACTTATCGCTTCCTATCCATGAAATTGACACTTTCCGGGGCTGGACGGTAATCTTCAAAACTCTTGATAGCTACGGAGCATGTCTGCTAACCCTCTTAGCCTCCTGTCCTGCCGGAAGGGCCCATCAATTTGATCGTCGCTGTCTCGTTCGGGCTATTTGTGCCTCCCCGAATTATCAATGGTGCTAAATATGGGGGTCTCAATGTGCACCCCTCTTTACTCCCCGAGTACACATCTCCGAAGATCGTAATCAGTAAACCCAGCCTTGCTAACGAGAACGTCCAGCTTCCGCGGTCCCGCACCGCTACACCACACACTCCTGAACAATAGAACCAGAACTGGCGTCACATTGCAAACTCTACATCTGAAGCACTTCGACCACGGTACTATTCTAGCGCAGACGCCTCTCCCAGGATTTGACATACCGAACCCAGATTCCTGCACGGTCCAGGAACTGCTAGATGTTGTTGCCCCCAAGGGCGCGGAAATTCTCGTTGAAGGCATCCAAAAGGGACTTTTCGTCCCCCCTTTGCAAGATGTAGGCTGGCGCCCGTCAGCGGACGATGGTACTCTGATTCATGCTGCAAAGATCATGCCAGAAGACCGACATATCGACTGGGCCAAGTGGACCTTGCATGATATCCAGAGAAGACATCATGTGCTGGGTCCGCTTTGGAGCAAATCCCTAGTTGCCAGCGGCACATCTGGTGGGAAGCCCAGCTTCCAACATCTTCGCGTCATATTCTCTGAGTTTGAAGAAGTAGCTTTACTAAAAGGCTGCGATCAATTCTCGGTCGTACCCGGCCTACCGTTCATAGACGGCGCCCTTCCAATCGAATTGGATAAAGGAAACGGCGTTTATGTGTTCACTCGGGACCACAGGCTCGTCAGGATTCATCAAATGAAGGTCGAAGGTGGGTTGACTACAGACGCTCTCCGGGCCGCTCGCAAGGCTCGTATGATTGGCGAACGAACGTTCTACTCGGGCGACATCGGATATACACCATTCTACAATCCTTTACATTGAACGCAATGAGATGAAAACAAAATGCCTATCGTTTCATTGACGTCGCGATACCATCGCTAAATACCCTTCATACCAGCCAATCCAGGCCTTCGTACGCCGAGCATTGCAGATAATCCTCCTCCACGGTTTCACACTACAAATCGCAAATCCGGCAACTGTAGAATCAGTCCTAAAGGAAATATCATCGACCGCAGCACTTACTGACCTGAATTGCTTGGCCGGTCACAGACATGCCTTGTGCGAACATGACATATGGATTGGCAGTGTCGTCCAGGTCAACCTAGCAGCAGTTTTATGAGCAGCAGGGATGCATGGTACATGGAAAACTGTACCGTTCTCTAAAGCGCGTCTTTCTCCCTATATCCATCAATATTCTGGCCGCACACTGCACATACCTTGGCTGATGACCGCTTTCGTATTGCGAGTTACTGCTCTCGAACCATTGTCACGAGCCCTTCAGCTGCGTCTCTGCCCAGGAAAAGTTAATAGCGACGTTGCAGCCCTCCGCGGCACACTTTTAGGTTACAAGAGCGCCTGTGCCCCTAATCTCTGTTTGGGAGTTACTGTAGAAGAAGTGCCACTTCTTGGAATACACATACCTGGACCCGGCAGTAATCGGGTCTTTGCGATTGTGCATGGAATGTATGATGTTCTGGTGGGATTGTAGTGGGTATATGTAATATGTAACATTACAACACGAGGTAAGCTTTGGAGTGAGGATTTGAGCTCGACAAGAGAATAGCAAGCTGAATAGCATAGCCAACCGTGTGGAGGAGTTTCCGCCCAAGTGACAAACTTGCGTGAGAAAAATATAGTGCCTTACGATCTACCTTACTCCGCTGAAGGGCTCTCAGTTCGCACCGCTCACATTCCGATCTTCAGAACCATCGATACCAGGTGCATATGGTTAATCCATCTATGGTCTAGTACTGTAGTAGTTGGCCCTTGGTCGATCTCGGTCGATAATATGTGTTGCCTGTCAATCCACCAGCGTGCCGGCATATTCAGTCTGCCGCATGCCTTTCCACGCTCTCTTGCCCGCTAGATCTGGCCACTGAACGAGGAAGCGATCCGCAAAAGGCAGCAGGAGTTTACCTGACAGGCTTAGAGTGGTGACTCGAGCCCATGATTCTACGAAGATTGTGCGAAGTCGGAAATCATTCGACATGGTGGCTGACCTAGATCCAAGCAAAAACATAGTACTAAGGGTGTGCCATAGCCGGAGCAGCCTAGCCGCCAGAATGATGCAGACTGCCGTGGCCGGCCCATTGGTGAGGATGATGTCTGGATGGGGTGAGTGCATCGACTCCGAACGAAGTGGTCCCTGGTCTGGATGTAAGCCGCGTAGCACCAGAAGACAAGACCAGAAGGAACTGAGAGTGGAGAAGGGTGCAGTCAGGTAGGATTGGTGTACGCGACGGGCGCGCGGAACTATGACGATAGAGTATGATCCCGTTGCTGGAGGGGGCCGCTCAGATACCGCAGGGTCCTCATTCTGGTTTAAATATGTTGTTTCGAAGTCGACGACCTTCTTCGCGCTGAAGTTGTCGCCGGAGCTCACGACGTAGGTTCGGTAGGTGTACTTGGTTGGATCGAGTTCCATGCGCCGGAGCATGGAGAACATTTCCGCCGTGTGTCCGCCACTTCCCAGGACCACCAAGAGATGAATCGGTCTATTTCTCGGGCGCCACTTTGGCACTTTGGTGTTGTGCGACTGGATCAAGGCGTAGAGAAGGAGCTATAAAAGTCGACCTCGAGTTAGTCATCGGCTATGGTAAGGACGGCGAGGTGCAGCATGGCACTGACGAGGGCTGCAAATATACAGAGTGTACCTGTCAGGGCTAAGACCCAGAGCAGCATAGCCCAAGTTAGAACCGAAGACATTATGCGAATTGGCGATCGGTGATCGAATTGAGCGAAGGGAAATAACAGGCTGGCTTTCTAGTTTGCTGCGGACGGTGCGCGGGGATGCGATTCGGAGGTGTGATCGCGAACAAGGAACCTCAAGAATCCTCCGAAGCTATGTTGTGCACACCTCAGAAGCTTATCAGATCCCACCTTGCTTGCATTTTGTAGCTCAGAGAGCAATGACGACAAGGACAGCAGGTGAGGTATTCATGATTGTTGCCAGTTTTGGCGGCGGCCTCGAAACGACCTAAACAAGCACGTGGTCCGTGCCGCGGTCGGCGATTATTTTGCTGTTGTTGTCTTAACTCCTTCTCTCTCGTCCCCCTCGCCCCATTATCATTTCCCTCTATCATCACCACGACTACCGTTGTCGTCCACCCTTTCTAAACATATCTCCCCCGCCATCAATGTTCACCTGCTCGACAGGAGATGGCTCCTTTCTTCGCAAAGCGATTGAAGTGTTTTTACTGTGGGTGTCGCTCACCCCAGGCTGACAGAGAGCCCATTCGCAAATGGCGTTGCCAACATTGCGAGGCCATCAATTATTTGGATGAAGTAGGTCACTTGTAGCCTCACGGTGTGCTCATATGCCATCGCAGCAGGGCTAAACATGGCTAACTCCCTTCAGAACGGGGAAATCACCGATCCCCCTGCTACTGAAACGAATCCCGCTGTACACAGCCCTCACGCATCAACTCCGCCCTTCGAGTCCAATGACTTCACAGGCTCCAGTTTATTCTGCGACAAATGCCTCCGCAACCAACACCTCTTCACTAACAACTTGGCATCCTACTTCCCGCCTTCCGATGATCCGAGTTTCGGCGCATACGAACGCGAGTATCCTAAATTTCGCAAAAACCTAGAGGAGCGGTATCCCCAGGTTTGCGCCACTTGCGAGCCTCGAGTGAAACAGCGCATTCGTCAAACCGGATACGAGGCCAAAGCGGATCATTTGAGACGGATGATGGACCGAAGTAAGGCTGGGAGGATGGCAAGAAAGGCACGTCGGTGGAACTGGAGAAGCCTTCTTGTCTGGGCCGGCGCCATGGGCTACTGGGCTAGTGTTGCCGGTCAACTTAGCTGGAATATCTGGAGTGCGTTAGCCGTGGAGGAAACCGAACCACTGCAAGACCCCGATGCCTTATATGACTCTCCTCATTTGGTCGAGTGCGCACGCGAGATAGTGCAGACCCGTCGGATACCGAGCAGTTGCGCGATGGATCTAGCACCTTATGCCGGGCTAGCTCTCATTGTCGGCATTCTGTCTTTGTGGTGGAACCCCAAGCTACGCTTGAAAGTAGAAGGAAGGGGCGGACGCTTTGTTGGCCTGAGCGAGTACTATCAGGTACAGCTCATTGTCATGGTGGTGCGATGCGTCTTCTGGGCGGTTCTTCGAGAACCCTCTTTGAGCGGACTGGAGGCTAATATTCCCCCGACTTTACACTTGTTCATGCTATTCTTCACGATATTGGTACGTAACCTAGAGAACCTAGTGTCGACCTCGCTAATGAAGGACACCTACCTCTAGTCTGTTGCGATCTCTAGGCGCATTGTGCGCTATGACACCCGTCCGCTGGTCGTCTGGAATGATGACACCCCCGCAGCCACTCCGAGTCGGAATACTGAAGCGACTCCAGTGCCTAATTTTGGTAACAACACTGGAAACAGTCGCCGGCTGTTTACAAGTCCTACTGGAGATCTCCGGCAGCGACCTTCTCGTTTCCCTTTGGACAAGCTTGCTTCTCCACGGACAGCTCCTGAGGAACCAAGCATCCCAACCCCACCTCCGGAGGCTGACGATATGGACTGGACTCCTTCCCTTGTCCAGCGCGAACTTGAACCCAGAATTAGTGTTCGTCGGCGAGACAAGACCTCTGGGCTCAATGGCGAGCTGCCGTCTTTTGGCCTCCTGCCCGCTGCGCCTAAGCCACCCGCCTGGAATTTGCGTAGCAAACCCCAATACACAAACCCCATTAACCCCATTAACCCCACTCAACAAGTGGAACGAAATCCGTTCCAGCGCACACCTGCACAACCGCAACAATGGCAACGGAACACCAGTGATGCCGGCGCGGCGTTTGTACCGCCAAAGTTCTTTCCTACGAGCGATCATACCGCGACAACTGGACTCGAGAGCTTGTTCGATCGGACCTTCACCATCAAGTCTCCTGAAGATGGAGAAGACAACTACTGGCAAGCACACCAAAACTCGAATGAACACGCCCACCACCCTGTGAATCTCTGGAGTTATTTTGTCTACCAGTACCTTCGGTTAGGACTTCTTATTGTTTCTCTTGCTGCCTGGACTTTTTCGGAATATGGTCTACTATCGCTTCCGGGCAACTATGTTGAGATCGCATCGTTAGGCAGTGCCAGTCTTATCGCCGGGTTCGCCCTTCTAGAGGCTATGAAACGTCCTATCGTGCAGTGGAATGGCATGGAGATCCTCACCTGCTTTTCCGAGCTGGTTGCTGCTGTTAATCTTGGGGGATACCTTCCCCGGATTGGGGTTGCCTACCAGCGGCAATCTTTTGACACATACGGGAAGTTGTTATTGGTTTTCATGACCGCCCAAGAGGCACTGAATCTGCTGTCACTGTATCGCCTCGCTGCAGTCCATGGGTCTGGATCCCACCAGCAGCAGCAGCAGCAGCAACAACAACAACAACAACAACAACAACAACAACAACAACAACAACAACAACAACAACAACAACAACAACAACAACAACAACGCCGCATCGCGTCTCCGGATGGCCGTGTAACTGGACATCAGTCCCCATCGGCATTTAATCACCAGAGCCAGGTCCAGTCGTTTGACAGTCAGCCATCCATGCCACCCCTGTCCTTTTCATCTACTCTTCCTACCTCGAGCTTCACGACGCAGTCACCCGCCACGCCCACCCAATTCGCACCTTCGCCATACGACGGAGGATTCTACAAAAATCACAGTTTCACTCTGAACAGTCTGAAAGACAATGAGTCCGACGTGTCGGACGCGTTTGACCGTGACTCGGACACTGAAACCACTGTAACAACAGCCACATCTGCCACAAACAACACAATTCGAAACATTCGCTATGGACGGAACAACGATTATAACAGTGACTCGATGTTCTCGCCCCGACGATCAGAGCTGGGCCCGGGGATCGGGGGTCTGAGTTTGGAGGACGAGCCCGGTCGCCGCATCACCCGCAGTCAATCGAAGCTCAAGGATCGTTTCGCAGCGGCGCGAGGAATACGGTGATATCAATCCTCGATCTTTGGGCGTTGGTCGGCCTCATTGGACCAGCTGTCTCATTTCAAGCGTTTGCACTTTTGGAGTTGGTTAGCTACCTCTTTCCCTTGCTAAATCTACCTTATACCACTCTTTGTGAGCCCACGCGAACTATTACGGCCGGTGAGAAAGCTTGCCTGTTCTGAGTTCAATCCGTTTGTTTCACTGTACTTGGGGCTGTTTGAAGATGTGTTTTGTACATAGCAAGTAGAATGAACGATTTATGAATGATGGCACGACCGATTTCTCACTTTGTCAGAGTGGGTTATAATCAGACAATTCCTCCGTGTTGTCCTAAAGCACAATGTATCATTATTCCTTTGAACTTGAACCTAGTCTTATGCTGAACCTAATTTAGAAAGCACCTCGAATGTATTCCTTAAACCACAACGCCTCTTTCATGCAATCGCTAATATACCTTTGCTTTATCGTCTATCTTCTATGCATCGTTGTATCAGAAATGAAATTACCTGCATCTAGACCCACCCCAGTTTATCCGTGACAAACCTCGAGAGTTCCTGAATCGTACGAGGTTCCTCTTCGGTAGCCAGATGAGTTGAGAGAATCTGTATCCATTGGGCTGGCTGAAGTTCGTGGAGTTTGCGGTCCTTCAGGGCCTCTTGTGAGCGGGCTGCCTGTTCTGCAGCTATAGAGATGTCTGAGGAGGTAGAGATGTGGCTTTCGACGATGGCGCCATGTTTGAGACGAAGAAAAACGCGAGTCTGGATAGTTTGAAGGTCAGCCAAGCTTATTGTTGACAGCCCAGCCGGACATAGGCGAGGCAGGCGCCGGAAGGGGAACTCACAGACGGCGGCAAGGAGGCCGGCAGAGGAGGCCGGTCGCGCGGGTCCTCCCCTTCTACCGGATGGGTCGAGAAGATGAACCGGGGTGTCTGGCAGTATTTCCACTCGAGGGACTTGATATCTCATTAGCATGCGACACCAGAATTACAGGAGCAAGAAAATGAACAACGCAACTCGCCTTCATTTCTTCGATCCCCTTCATGATCTCCGCCTCTCCAAACCCTTGCTCCTCCCCAACAGTCCCAACCACCCAGTCCTCTCCGGCATACAGTTCCGACTCTTCTACAATGTGGGCCCTCTGCGCCCGGCGCACAGCATCCGAGCACGTTCCATAGAGTCTCGCAAATTCATCCATCACTCCCGCAATGACATCCTGGATCTCGAACGAGACCGGTGCATTCCTGAAGGCCGACGACACATTCGCCACGGGCGACCGCACACTATCCACCCCCTTCGACATCATATACTCCCGCGCCGGCGAGCGCAGGAACGAGCCCAGCCGGTCGATATTGGGAGAATCGAGCAAGCAGGTGCCGTGGTGAAGCGCGCGCTCGCGGGTGAGTTTGAAGGCGGACCCGGAGATCTTGCGCGGTTGCAGATCAGGCTGCTCCGCTTGCCGCTCGGAGTTCTCGAGTTGCATGACGATATCGTGGCGGTCGTTGACGCTGGTGGTGGTCGCGCCGATGCGGTGAAGTGCCCGCACCAGCATCTCGGCGTGCTTGTTGCGGGTGAACGTCGCGCGCGGCGAAATCACGCTGTAGTTGAGGTTGCCTTCGTCGTGGAAGACAGCGCCTCCGCCGGAGCGGCGGCGGACGTAGAGGGGAGCCGTGGCATTTTCAATCTGGTCGGGGGAAGACGGGCTGCTGCTGGCGGCGGCGGCGGTCCGGTCGTTGTGTAGCACGCGAAGGTTGGTTTCGAGCCATGGGTTCTGGTTGCGACCGATCACGACACAGGGGCGATTGATATATAGAAATAGGATGTTCGAGTCGGCGGGCGCATGTTGGAGGAGGAAATGTTCGATAGAGAGGTTGACGTAGGGGTCGTTGGACAGCGATTGGTATATTTGGTGTTTGGAAGCTGGTCGGCTGGCGAGCTGCGCGAAGCGATTACCTGCGAAGGAGGAATTCCACCGGATTGGTACGGGTGACGTCGTATGTTGCCATTGGGAGGATGCGAGTGACGAGGGCCGGAATGAGGAGGTGCGCAAAAGGTGGCGCATCGGGCGAGATGCAGGAGGTGAGCACCACATGAGATTTATTTTATGTTGATCGATTAGGAAGACGGTGATGATGATGATGATTGATTGCTGGTGATGATCATTGGAGTTCCATGGACCGGGGTATGCAAGGCGGTGAGAGTGTATCGTACCTGTTACTTACGGTCCTGGCGGTATGAGTCTTGTATTGAGCTTTGGACGAATGGGAAAAGGCGGTAGTCATGCTCTCCCGCGGGCTGCATCGAGTAAAGAAGCGGCCGATCTCCGGGGGCTATACCCGATGAAGCAAAAGGGCGGCAGAAAACCAAGGCGGGAAGCCATAGTATCTAGAGAAAATGCCCCTCCAAAGGCTAAAGGCGATCTCGCGATCGGCCGGCCATGAATCAGTCATTCATTCTTCTTTTGTCTGTCTGCTTTCTCCCTCTTATCCACTCACTCTTCCATTCCACTCCACCGGCCACCCACCTTGTTCCAATCTTCTTTTCTTCCACTCCGGTCTCACCTTCTTTTCTTCCTTTTCCCTAGAGGCTGTCAATTCTTCTATCCGTGACCTTTTCCTCTTTCTTTCTGCCCTTACTCGGATTGAGCCTCTCAACTTGCGAAAAATCTCGACGCCGACATCGCATCACATCACATCAGCCCACCATGTCGACCTGGGGTGAATACTTCCGCGTCACCACGTAGGTCTTCTTCCTCTCAATTGCGTCGCGTCATCTGTGTCCTTCGACACAGGCGTAGCAACTTACGGTTAAATTAATGGTTTTCTCCCCGCAGTTACGGTGAATCGCACTGCCGCTCTGTCGGCTGCATTGTCGATGGCTGCCCACCCGGAATGGAGCTCACTGAGGATGATATTCAGCCGCAGATGACTCGGAGACGCCCCGGCCAGAGTGCCTTGACCACCCCTCGGAACGAGAAGGACCGCGTCGAGATCCAGTCAGGAACAGAATTCGGTGTCACTCTGGGCACTCCGATTGGCATGATGGTGCGCAACGAGGATCAGAGACCCAAGGATTACGGCGGTAGCACAATGGACCTGTACCCCCGCCCCAGCCATGCCGACTTCACCTACCTCGAAAAATATGGCGTCAAGGCCAGCAGTGGTGGTGGCCGCAGCAGTGCCCGCGAGACGATCGGTGGGTGCAACCCTCAGACCTGCCGCTGAAATGGATGAAACATACTAAGAATATGATCAGGCCGAGTCGCTGCCGGAGCCATTGCCGAAAAGTACCTTCGCCTATCGCACGGTGTTGAGATCGTCGCCTTTGTCTCCTCCGTCGGCAACGAACACCTGTTCCCCCCTACTCCCGAGCACCCCACCGCCTCCACCCAGCCCGAGTTCCTGAACCTGATCAAGACCATCGACCGCAAGACTGTCGACTCCTTCGTACCCACCCGCTGCCCAGATGCTGATGCCGCCGCCCGCATGACCAAGGTGATCGAGCAGTTCCGCGACAACCACGACAGCATCGGCGGCACCGTTACCTGCGTGATCCGCAACGTGCCCGTCGGCTTGGGCGAGCCCTGTTTCGACAAGCTCGAGGCCAAGATCGCCCACGCGATGCTCAGCATCCCCGCCACCAAGGGCTTCGAGATCGGCTCCGGGTTCGGCGGCTGTGAGGTTCCCGGCTCGATCCACAACGACCCCTTCATTGTCTCCGACGTGGCATCCCAGCTCGGTCCCAACACCTCCACCAAGCAGCGGCTCACCACCAAGACCAACAACTCCGGCGGTATCCAGGGTGGTATCTCCAACGGCGCCGACATCTACTTCCGGGTCGCGTTCAAGCCCCCGGCCACCATCGGCCAGGCCCAGAACACTGCCACCTACGCCTTGGAGGAGGGTATTCTCGAGGCCAAGGGCCGCCACGACCCTTGCGTCACCCCCCGCGCCGTCCCCATCGTCGAGGCCATGTCCGCCTTGGTCATCATGGACGCCCTCATGGCTCAGTATGCTCGCGAGAGCGCCAAGAGCCTCCTGCCTCCCCTGCCCAACACCATCCCCACCCGTCCTACCCTGAGCGGTTCCAACTAAATAAAAAAAAAGCCCTTTTCTCCTCATTGTATCATGAAAATGTAATCGAATCAATCATCATCCTTACGTTTTTTTCTCGTTTTTTTTCTCCATATTTCCGGGAACAGGCTTGGGAAAAGTTGTTTCCTTCATTGATTTGGAATGTGGCTTCAACACTACATTCAGTGTTGCCTATATATCTTTTTTGGCCTGTTTGTTTCGAGACACCATTCATGAAAATTAGAGTGCAGCGATATATATGATGGTATGACATTTTTGGATGAATCATATATTATTCTTTTTCTTCTGGTATATCCAGCCTCGGCTTCAGAAAAATACGGGCATGTATCTGGTTATTTACCACACATCATTGTTGCTCAACGGCATCAGCTTCCACCACGCCTTCCCTAATCGGTCGAGTCCAGCCTGCGATGCCGGCTTGCCCCGATTGGATGTTCCGTTGACTCCGGTGATCCTTTTCCATCTAGCTGAGGGATATTCGCATTTTCGTGGATTTTACTCATGGCTCATAAACTATAGTAAGATCGTTATATCATGGGAAAACCTCGGTTTCCACCACATGCTTCGTGAACACATACATACATGCATACATATATCGTTTGATATCAACATGGCCAACATCGTATACCCAGCACAAAACAAAATCAAGGGTAACAGTCATAACCAAGGGAAACGCGAAGTTGGGCTGGACTAGCGAAAGCCGTCAGTGCCAGGATATGACCACCCAAAACTAACAGGGGAAATATAGCACGAGGCCCGATCTACCCCCGTTCCCTGGGAGGGACTGCATATGGACGTACCCATAGTACGCTACGCCGTTTCAAATCTCGCGGACCATGCGAGGAAGAATCCCACCACTGACGGACCTCTCCGAAACCCCATCCAACTCCCCCGCCGTAGCGTTCACGACTCGCAACTTCTCCTTCGGCACTGTGAAGGTCACTTGGACCCGTCGGCCCTCCGCCGCACCCTCGACATCCCAGTCGTCGTCCCCGTCCTCTTCGCCGTCGGCATCCGCATACCGGCGCAGGCCATCGGAATACAAGCCGGCACGCTCGTCACCGATCCCCATGTCGTCGCGCCACGAAGGGCCAGCGACCGAGCTTCGCTTCCCGGCTCCCCAGTCCCGGGCGCCCTGTTTGCGACGGAAGAGCTCGGCGGAGGCGCTGACGGAGCGGCGCGGAATCCGCGTGTTCCCGTATCCGGCAGCCAGGGGGGTCACGGGGGACGGGCGTTTGCTGCTGCTGCTGCTACCGTTGCCGACGACGGTGCTTCGTCGGTCGAGGTTGATGTCGATACCGGAGGCGATTGAGGTGAACGCACCGGGGGATTCGGCGAAGTCTGCCGTCGGTGGTCGACGTCGAGTGAGAGAGAGGACGCGGCGGACGTTGTTGCCGATCCAGTCGGAGGTTCGAGGCCTGCCTATAGTGGGCAAGGCGGTGGGTTTGCTATCGGGCATCGGGAAGAGATCGAGCGTTTGAGCAAGTGGGGAGGTAGGCTCTTCGAGGCTCTGGGAGTGTTGGTGATGTTGGAGGAGGTGTTCGCCTTCGGAGTGACGTTGAGACACCGAGGTCTGCGCAGTCGAGTAGGAATCCGAGGTATAGCATTGTTCCACGAAGGATAGCGCCATGCTGTTCGGCCGGCTGCGCGGGGTTTCTCGGCTGCTGCCATTACTGCTGGCGCCACCACTGCTATACGCAGAAGCTGCTTCGGTGGACTTCAGGGGGATTTGTCGTCCGCTTATCGACTGATGGGAGGAGGAGAGATGCGGGAGATTGAGCGCACGGGCTTGCATGATGGACTTCGCGGAAGTAGTCGATGAATCGGACAGGTTGGATGAAGTCCGGTCTCCTTTGTCTGGCGAGGCGGGGCCACCATCTTGATCGATGCCAATTCCGGCAATGAACTCGGGGGGGACGAGGGGGACGGCTGAGTAGCCAATGTTGGCGCCTAAGGGCGGTAGAAAGGCTGATCCTCTTGGTGGGTCGTATGTCTCCTGCGTCATGATCATTCCGGCGTTCTTTGCCTCGTCTTCTTCGCGCTCGTCGATTGGATGGATCTCTCCGGTGGCATCGCTTCTGCGAAACTCGCTGTATTGAGTTGGAGGCCGGTACAATCTCGCTGTTGGGCCAGACAGGTTGGTCTTGGTGGGACTCAATGCTTCCCCAAGCAAGCCAGTGCTCTCCGCGATCGTCCCTCCTGCCTTATCATGCCAGACAGACGACTGCCCAGATCCGCGCTTACTTTTCCAATCGGCAATCTCTTCCATCTCCCCCGAAAAGGGCCTGCGTATGCTGCTCGCCATATTTGGGCCCTCGCCGCCCCAGAAATGAGCTCTTTGTGCGCCAAGAGCCAAGTTGCGTAGTTCTTGATCCCGTGAGCGACGCTCGTAACGCCTGCGGCTATAGAAGAAAAGGAATACTGCTAAACAAATCACCGCGGGGATCCCCAGACCCAGTCCGACTCCAAGCCCAGTCTTTGTGCGCGAATTCGAGGTGCCAGAATCAGATACGTTGTCTTTTCGTGAGTACGGGTTCTCATAGGTTGATACCCAATGCCCCGATGTGACATTGTACAGGTAGACCTGCGAGTTGTCTAGAGAGCTCCTGGAAGAGAGTTTGGAAGATAGATGCGGAATGGGCTGTCCTCCTGCGATCATCATCACTCCTCCAGGAAGCATTGTGGCACCATGTCCGTATATTCCCGCTGCTTCTCCGATTCCAGAACTTGTAATCGATGGTATCCTCCAGGTCCATTCTTCGTAGTCAGCTTCAAGCTCCAGGATAGCTAGCTGCGGTTGAGCTGCGACACTCGTGTTCCCTACCCAGCCTCCGTAGACGATGACTTTGCTACCGTCTGGAGACAGGACTGCTGTATGCCCTGATCTTGGCTCCACCACGTTGACTTCCCGTACGGCAAGTTCTGTTTTGAGCGTGGTCGGTGCAGTCATCACATTCACAAAACTCCAGCTATTCTGCGGGAGAGAAAAGACGGCCAGCTGCGACATGTTTATGAAGGCGTCCCGGGTCTGGCCTCCAATCAGGAGAAAATCTTGCTGCTTGCGCGGCTCTCCGGTGGAGGAATATGCATAGGACGCCTGCAGGGGTGTGATCGTAAACCCGGCCTCCGCGACTGGAGGGGCGCGGCTGCCAGTTGTAGAGGCGTCATAAGACACAGTATCCCCGGAAGTATGAGGATTTAGAACGATCATCGACTGGGAATAGTTTGCAGCGGCCATCCAGGTTTGGTTTGTAGCATTCGTGAACGGGCACATGCCGCCGAATGCATAGATGGAACTGTCAGACGTATTGGTGGGCGCATATGCAAAACCCGCCGAAAGGAAATTAGGCCTATCCACAGCGACACTGGACTGAGTTGCGGAGCTATCTATGGCCAGCTGTTCCCAGGTGCCATTGCCCGCGGAGTCGTTCGCTTTGGGTGTGAACTGCCATATCGCGCCTTGGTCCAGAGTGTCCCGACAGCTACCTGCGAATACCTTGATCACGCCAGCGGCGTCAATGGTAGGTACATAAGCTGAACCGTTTTCATGGTGCTGGAAGGGTAACGAGCTTGTCAGTGTCGAATACTGCGGTTCCGCGGCGTCGACGACTTCCGACACGTTCAAGGCCAGGAGTTCCGTGGTGACATTCTGGCTAGATCCCCTCGAATGCAAAAGATATGCAAAAGAGCCATTATGGTCGAGACTGTAGAGCAGGTACGACGGTTCATATGGAATCAGCGCAGAGGTCGGCTCAGCGCAGAGTAGAACGAAGGCAAGTAGAAGCGTCGACGCCACGTGGGCGCCGACAAATCTGCGCATTCCGTGTCCTTGTTGGAAACATCCATCCATGTGTGTGTAGACGAGAGTTTGAGATGAGGTCGAGAGCAAGGCTGATCTGAGACAGATCGCAATGCATCTAGCGCAAGGGTTAGCCCGTTAGCACGATCTGGACAAGGCACGGCTGGAGACCAGATCAGCCGACATGGGCGAGGATCGTCAAACTAGGCCGATCTAATTGCTTTAGATCCGAGCGAGTACTTCAGGATATGGATGAAGCGAGGGTCGAAAGGTATGATGGTGCTACTGGCGGAGAGGGGAGGGAGGAGGGAGGAATGCAGAAGATGGATTTGGGGTTGGTGGCTAGACCAGAGAGAAGAAGAAGAGGAGGAGGAGGAGGAGGAGGAGGAGGAGAAGTGAGTAAGTGACACACTGACATGGATCTCATCAGCAGGCAACATCGCAATTGCGGCCGATCGGATCCGAGTTTAGATGAAATGAGGACTCTGTGGCAGGACGACTTGATTAACATAATCGTCATGGGTGGACTAAATCTTCGTACTCCGTACGGAGACATAGTGCTCCATAGTACTCCTCGACGGACAGGCCCATCCATCTGAGGACCCATCCAGTATGAAGCGAGAGCCAGGAAATAGTGAGGGGCTGGGAAGAACGATTGCGCCGTCAACACGGGCGGTTGCACTGGCAACCTGGAGGCTGCATGGGGGTTGATTTCCAGTACTGTCCGGGTTGGTGAGGGTCGAGTGAGGCAATCCAGACAGACTCGGGAGGAGGGAGGAGGGAGGAGGGGCAAGAGTCTCCCCCTCTTTTTATTATTATTATTATTATTATTATTATTATTATTATTATTATTATTATTATTATTATTATTATTATTATTATTATTTTCAATTGGGCAACTTCTTGAGTTCAATTGACTCCGAGTGACAGTTCAATCGATGCGAGGGGGAGGACGGATGGATGATGAATGATGGAACAAAAGCAAAGGTGGAGCCGCGAGTGAAACAGGGCAACAGACCATCTTCCGGGCCGAACTTTGGGTTGTCTTGTTTACACTTTAATTTACTCTTCTGATTCAAGGTTGAAGGTTCATTTCCTCAGGGTTCATTATTGGAGCTCTGCCCGACTAAAGTGGGGATCCGACCAATCAAATTACAGGTTGGCCTGCCAACTGCTTGCTACTGCTGCTGCTGCTACTGCTGCTGCTCCTCCTCCTCGGAATCCCGAGTCCAGACCTACCTTACTTATCAGACTGTAACTTAGCACACTTAGTGGATTCGCTAATAGACTACTCCGTAGTAGCACCACCGATAGGGCTGAGATATGCTAGTCACTCGTGGGACAAGCAAGGAGAGAAAACTGACCTCGTGCTCCTTATGCCCAGGCGGGGCTCACGGGCAACAAGAGACCCCATTCATTCTCTCTTGTCATCCCGCTGACCTGAATACACGACCCGCACATTCGTCATCACACCCATCATGTTCCGTCTTGCCACAGTGAGTGGGTGCATTCCTTTCTAACTTATACTCATAATCGAGAGGGAACCTAAGCAGAGAAAAAAGAAGAAGAAGAAGAAGCGCGATTCGACCGCGCGTCAGACTCTTACGGCCCTTGCAGCGCACGGGCTCATATTCTGCTGGATGACCCCGGTGGGTTGGGGGGGGGGGGAAACAAACCAGGTTATCATTGTCTGCCTATAACACAGCTCTACTCCGTAGTGCTGCTTGGCTTGGCTCGGTGACAAGGGCTCAGCCACATCCCATCCATATCCCGAACAGCATCCTGGGGACTCTTGGGTGAAAGGGGGGGGGAGAGGGGGGGAAAGAGGAGGGGCGTGAAGGATTTGACATCCGTTGCTCAGTGGACATTCAGGAATCCAGAGGCCATGCTCCGACACGGGATTTGGTCTGATCAGTCCACATTGGGCTTCCTTCTTGTCAGAGCTGAGGTGACGCCTAAATTTGCAGACGGGTAGAGAGCGAGATGGTGTTCCGTTGGTGCGGTAGCAAACATGCTGAGTATTTTGGGGGGGGTTGAGCGGAGGCGAAGGATCGCGGACGGAGTAGAACGATGCGAATGATAGTACGTCTCATGCCGCCTCGAAGCCACTGTTGGCGCAGATACGGGCTCATGGCTTCTGCAGTGGAATCATAGAGCCTTTCCACAGTACCAGCTGGTGGTTCTTGAGTCGATCACGAGTCATATCTTGAAAACACTTAGCATGCTGTGCCAAAATGCCTCGGAAATTATCGGTTCGGGCTATGAATCGCCATATCTTCCGTGCCTTTGCGCTCCATGTCGCCCTCCTCTGGACCCAGCAGAGGTAGCGTGTTATGATTCAGAGGGAATCGGGGCCTGCAGGATGATAGACCTTGGACTCTACACTCTACCAGGATTGTTCTCTTGGCGGTTGACACCGAGTAATCTCTGGTGGAACAAGGTGCAGCGATGCTAATAGGAAGAAAGGGGGGGTTAGGGGGGGGGGATGCCATGCTGGCGGTGATGGGTGGTTAAGATGTACAATGTAGGTAGACGGTACATGCTCACTCAGGGGCGTTGACAGATCGACCACCAGCGCCAATAGCTAGTAGTGGTGGCTGATATAGAGTTGCATTTGCTTGGGGATCCCAGGCCCGACATCCCTTTGCAGCTCCAACCGTGTGAACGAAGAGGATCCGAAGACTAACTTACTCGTGTCTGAACTCTGTCTGATTGGATGTGATCCAGAACCCTAGGCTGCAACAGGAGACCAGTCCAGCAGTATGCAGGGGGCATTGAGGTGGATGCCCGGCACGCATTGGGTTGTGCCAGAGTGATATGACATGATGTGACGGTTGACTGGGCACGGGGCTGTCTCCGGCTTTCAGCTCTGTCAGTGATAATCTGACCTGCATTGTTCCCACTCTTTGCGGACCGCACCGGGCAAGGGATGGCTGGGGGGAGGAAATATGAGTATCTGCAGATATGATGGCCCGTGGTCCTCTTGGCTTCCGAGGATGGTGGCTGGTTTGCGTGTGACAGGTGCGTTCGAGGGGGTTGGGGATATGCTGGATGTACGGAGCACACCGTAATGGGCTTGTAATGAGCTAGCAGTGAACATCAATACTTTTCAACTTGAACGATCCCAGGGGCAGGAAAGCATCTGCTATTCAATATGTACTCGCACATACCTAGCAGTCTAGTCCGTACAGTACAGTCAGGACTCAGGAGGGGTATGACTGCTCTAAAAAGCTTGGTCCAAGGACTGGCAACCAGTGAGGTTTGCTCGGATGCAGTAGTGGGTATGCAGGCTCCCCAAATAGGAACTATGAGGATGCCGCGCAGGAGTAGGGGAGGGATAACTCTGGTTGGTGGGATCTAACTTGTCGAGTCCTTGGATTGCTTGCAGTGTGGAAACAACCTTCTGTTGAAGGTAAGCCGGTGAATTCGGTGGTGGAAAAGCTCGGCGGTGCAAAAGAATTACGCAGATGAAGCGGGTGATACCATCCATACGTTGATCACAGTTACTCGGGTATCAGGCCATGTTTATCGGGGTTTCCATCCCCTAGGTGCGAGTATAAGGGATCAGGAGGATGGTACATAGTAAGATGTATCAAGTTGAAAACAAATAAGATAAAAAAGAAGTGGCGCTGCCC